TCACACGCATTTCACACCACGCACGCACACACACACACACACACGCGCGCGCATCCTGCACATGTGATTGTATGTGCCTGGGCACGCACCTGCCACGAAGACACATACAGGCAGAGGAGAGAGAGATAGAGAAAGAGAGAGAGAGAGAGAGCGAGACGACGACAACGACGCTCACGCAGTGCAGACAGGATGTGCCAGATCTGCTGTGCCGCCCAACCCTCACTTCCTCCACCGCCACCTCCTCCTGCTCTCTAGCCTCGTCGCCGTTCGCCAACATCATCCTTGTCATCCTCTTCATCATCATCGATACTCCCGTCGTCCTCTAATCCACCTTCATACTCATCCTTCGCTCTCCTCCGTGGCCCCCTCCCCAATCGCGAACGTAAGCGCCCGGCCTCGCACCTGCCGCTCTCACAGCATGTCCTCATCGCTCCAAGTCTGCAGCGCAGGCTCTGTGCTTCATGCTCTGCGCTCGCCAAGGCGCTCTCCTCACCTCTCGTCACACCGACCGTAACAACGATGCCACTAGTCCCTTGGTATCGCTCGGACGTGTGCACCTCTCCTCGGCGGGGGTTATTAAGGAGCATCCTGGATCATCCTGCGAAACAGAAACACGCACGAAACCGAACAGAAATCATAAGGAGCGGACGTCCGAGCGACGGGGAGGTCCCAGACGACGGGCACGACGACGAGCACGGCGATTGACGACGCCGCGGCGTCGGCCCCTGCAGGGGCCCCTGCCGCCTCGCCCGCCCGAGGCCCGATCCCCGCGCGGGCGCCCGGGCCTGGTGGCCTCGGGAGGCCGGCTCGCCCCAGGGCGGCGCAGGCTGACCTGAGCCGTTGCCGCCGCCGCCGCGGCCGCGGCCGTAGTCGTGGTTGTCGTCGCCGTCGCCGGCGTCGGCGCCGTCGTCGGCAGGGGGGGGGGAGAGGAAGCGGACTCGAGGAAGAGAGCGAGGTGAGAGCGAGGTGGGGGCTGCAGCAGCGGGGAGGGAAAGGGGCCAGATGGGGGGGGGCGGCGGCGGACGAGAAGGGTGGTGAGGTGGAGGAGGAAGGGGGTGCAGTCCTACCTTGGGCGAAGCGGTTTTTGGCTGCTCGTGCCCAGCTATGGACTCATGTTGCAATGTTGCTGGGAAGGAAGTGAAGGTTGGGAAGGGAGTGGAGCAGGCGGATAAAGAGGAGGTGGAGGCTGGAGGGTGGAGGGTGGAGGGTGGAGAGAAGAGGGAGGAGGGGAGGACGTAATTCTAGACGCATCGCGTATCCCCACCCGATTTGTGTGGTTCAGCCTGCTACGCCTGTACAGCCCTCGGTTTTCCTTCTGACTCTGAATGCAGAGCATTTTGTTCAGTGCATGTGCAACTGCACGCTTGTTGTGCAATTCGCTTTGTGCCGCCTGCCCCGGACATTGGCTTTGCCGCAAGACCGTTGTCGCGCGGCCGCCGACCAAAAAAGTATCCCCACCAGCTTGCATCGCCCGTCGGCAAGGTTTCGGGCCCTGCCCCGCTTCCTGGCACCTCCTCGCGCCGCCCGGCAGCTTAGGCAGCTTAGGCAGCTTAGGTTCGGCCGCCAGTCCCCGTGCGCTAGGCAATTAGGTTCGCGCGTAGCCAACCCGACCTCTGACGCTGCTGGCGCGTTCGCCCGCGGCCGCGACCAAAAAGTATCCCCACCAGCTTCCGGACGGCTTTCGACCCGCCTGGCGAGCCTGTTGACAAAACAAAGCCACCAGCCTGCCTGTCCTGTTAGGGTGGCCTGTCGCTTGACCATTTGACGGCGCGCAGCTGCCTGCGTCGCTCGCGACCACAACGTATCCCCACCAGCCCATACAGAAACGATGCCCAGGCGAGTTGAGAAGCGCGGGAGCAAAGAGGGGGACGGCCGAAGCGTGCGAAGGAGGGAGGATGAGAAGGAGGAGGCTGGATGGATGGATGAGGGAGTGGGGAGGAGGAGGAGGAGGAGGAGGAGGAGGAGGAGGAGGAGGAGGAGGAGGAGGAGGAGGAGGAAGAGGAGGAGGAGGAGGGCAAACAAAAGGGCCAGAGGTTTCTTGGATGCCTTTCGGAGCCTCTTGGGGTTGGTGCCATCTTGGAGGCCATCGATCAAAGAAGGGGGGAGCCTACTTTAGCGTTGCCCCCTCAAAAAGCATAAATGGGGCCAAAGCCCAAGTAACACCAATGAGTTTGGTTTCCTCGCCGAGGCCGCTTTGGGCGCTCTAAATACCCGCGACCGGCCCCGTCCAGGTCCAGGGGAGGGGGCAAGGGAGAGGGGTAAACCCCTCCCCGAAGGGGAAGAAGATGGGTGGAAGAGGAAACTCCCTACCACCTACGCACAGAGGGCTGGTGGGATTAGGAGGAATCAGGGGAGAATGAGGATGAGGAGGACGGGGAGGAGCAGGAGCAGGAGCAAGGAGCAGGAGCTGGAGCTGGAGGAGCAGGACGAAAAGGATGAGGACAACGAACATGAGGTGGGAGAAAAGGGGGGGGGAGGCTTGGGGAAGGAGGGAGGGCGGCAGGAGGAGGTAGGTAGGGAGGGAATGAAGCAGAAGGGCCTGGGAGCGCGGGGAGGAGGTAAGGAGGGGCATCAGCAGGCACCCAGGGGATGAGAAGGGGGGGGGGGCAGAAGGGAGGAGAGGAGGAGGAGGAGGAGAAAAAGGAGGGGGAGGAGACAAGGATGACCAGAAGCAAGAGGAGTATGATGAGGAGGAAGCACTGAAGAGGAGGAGGAGGAGGAGGAGGAGGAGGAGACGCACCAAGTGAGCGTATGGAGGACGAAGATCATGAGGAGGCGGACAGAAGAGGCCCTAGTGAGAAATATTATCAGGGAGAGGAGGGAGGTGGAGTAAGAGTACAGGTCAAGTTGGCCAGGCCGACAGAAACGGCAGGCCCCATCCTGATAGTGAGACTGGGGCGCGCTCCCGCCTAGCAAACGGAAGGCGCTCTCGCGCGGTCACTCTTATTCGCGCGCGATCCCTCTTCCGAATTGTTGCCCATTCTGCGCGCGGCTCCCGCCCCTCCGTTCCTTGTTCCTTTCTGCTCCCTCCTCCCCGTGTTGTGCTCTTCGCAGGCCTGGAGTTCAGCTGTAGCATGCTGCGGGGCAGCAGCGCCGTGGTCATTCGCGCTGTGGTCATTCGCTGCGTGGGTCGGAAGAAATGTTGCTATCCGACGCCTCAGGAGGAATGGGGGAGGATTCGGGTGCATGTGGGAGGAGGCTTACATTTTACGGTACCTTTCAACGATGAGGTACCAAGGTCCGTGGCCTGGAAGCCCCCCAGAGCTCCCCTCCCCAGGGAGCTCTGAGGGTTCTCTCTGGGGACTGGGCGGCCCGCTCTCGCTCCCTTCTCCCGCCTCCCCGCTGTTCCCCTTTTTGTCCTCGTCTCCCTCGCTCCGGGTGGGCCCCCCCTGTGACCACAGGGCCCGTCTCGTGCCGCAGCTTGCCGCTGCGAGGGACACGGGCGGACAGGAATCGTCCGGGCTCTCGTGGCGCGGCAAGCGCGAAGCCGCAAGGCGCCCGGCCAGTCGCCGCGGCGGCCGCGGCCCGTCCCGCGCCCCAGGCCGCAGCTCCGGCGCGGGGGCCTCTTCGCAGCGGCGCCACGACGCCCCGGGCGGCGACGAGGCGCCTTCGGAGGGCTCGAACAAGAGACGCGTTGCAGACAGTCGGGCCGCTGAGGGAGGGGCCCTGTTCGCTGGGGAGGGGCTCAGAGTTCCGTAGTTGCTTCGCAGTTGTGCTTTTCAGGTTTTCCGTAGGGTTTCTATCGGAAGCCGAAGTTTGATCTATGGATAAAAAGGGACCTCGTTGCACATTTTGGGTTCCTTGTGACGGCGCTTCGACTGTAAATGCACACTTTCGGAGGTCCGCGCGGACTGCTTGGATCGGCGCTGCACTGCGGCGCCGCCTCGGCCTCGCGCAGACGGGGGCAATGGGGATGGGGGACGGCTTCTCAGGAGCACCCCTGCGTCTCACGAGGCGCGGGCCTCGTCTGTAGATGTGAGGGCGGCGCCTTTCTCAGACGCAGCCTCATTCTAAGAAGCCTTCCCCCCTCCCCCTACCCCCCGTTGCGCGCCGCCAGGCGCCAGAGCTGCCCCTGGCGCGCGCGTGCGCCCAGGGTTGGGGGCCCAAGACATCCGCGCGGACCTCCGACCGTGGATGTTGATGCCGTTTCTCTTGTTGTTCCTCTTATGATTATCATTATTATGTGTCTTCTTCTTATGCTTATTATTATTATTATTCTTATTATTATTCTGCTTATGCTTCTTCTTTTTTAGGGGCGCGGCCACCCCATAGGAGTTTTTTGAGGTGTGGTTGCTCTCTTCGGCCGACCGAGCCGCCGCCGTATCCGCCGTCCTCGGCATCCTCGTCGTCCTCGTCCTGTTCCTCGTCGTCGTTCGCTCGTCGTCGTGGTTCTCGCCGTCTGCCGTTGTTCTCGTCCTCGTCGCCCTCGTGGACGTCGTCGTTCTCGTCGTCGTGTGCTTGTCGTCGTCCTCCTCCTCCTGTTCTTCCTCGTTCTCCTCTGCCTCCTCTTGGCTCCGTACGCAAGTGGGCGAAGGCGGGCACAGGCATGTCGCGCCCCTGAAATTCTGTAGCCGTTTTCTCCCGATACTGCTCCTCACCGTTCCGGCTACGCATTTGCCCTCCTCTTTGCCTCTTCGATGACAAGGCGGAAATGGATAGGGGAGCGAGTGACAGAGGATGGTGCGGAGGGGCACCGGGGAATGGAGAAAGACCAGGAGCATCCTCCCCATCCTTTTGTATTTTGCATTTCCCTCTCACCGCCCTTGCTCCCTCCCCCCTCCACGGCCTGGAGGACGAGGGAGCAAGAAGGGGGGAGGAGGAGGAGGAGGCGGGATGAGGAGGAGGAGGGACGACGACCATGTCGAGGAGGACGACTACGACCCGAGACCCACGACCCGAGACCCACGACCCACGACGACGACGAACTGCCTGCCCAGCGGCCGCAGGGCGGGGCCAGCGGCCGGGCCGCGGCCTGGGACGGGCGCGAGCGCGGCCGTGCCGGGCAGCGGAGCACCGAGCCGACCCGCTGGGACCGGCGCGGGCCTCGGCTCCGCAGCGGCAGCTGTCGGCGGCCTATGCCTACTGGCGACATCGGCGGCGGCCGCGAGCGGCGGTGGGCGGCGGCGGCGGCATCTGGCGGCCTCCCTGGCGGCGGCAGGGCTCGGCCAGCCTCGGCGGCTTCGCCGCCGTGCCTGCGGCGGCGGCGGGGTGGCGGCCGCGGCGGCGGGCGGCGACGGAGACGGCGTCGGCGGCGGCCAGGATGCCCCAAGGCAGTCTGGCGGGTACACGGTCGGGAGCCCACCGCTCACGATGATGGGGAAGAGGGGTCCCGAGGAAAGGTGGGCCACGCGAGGAGGGGGGTAGGGGGAGGGGGGGGCTTCTCAGTTTGAGGCTGCTTCCTAGAAGGTACCCTTCTTGTCGATATTTGTAAGACCCGCGTCTTCTAAGAAGCAGTCTCCTACCCCCCTCTGCGCGCCGCCAAAATGGTGTCCTGGACCCTGGGGCTTCCCTGAGTCCTCGCGACGATGCGCGCGCTTCCGGGGGCCTCCTGCTGCCAGGCTCCAGGGGAGGCTCTCCAGGGTGGAGGGCTCTTTTCAGGGGGGCCCTTCTGTCCGCCCTGGTGCCGCTCGGGCGTGTGTGTATTTTCTCGGCGACCATCGAGGAGCATCTTGGCTCCTCTTGCGGGAAGATGAATGCACGGCGTCGACACATGAATGGGGAATGGCCGTCCGAGCGATGGCGAGCCTCACGACACCACGTCGGACCACCTGCGCTGCAGGCGCCGCCCCGCTGTCGCCGTCGCCTTCACCGCGGCGGCCGCAGTGGCCACGCCGCGCGGCGGTCACGGCGGCTCGCCCGGCAGCGCCTGCCGCGCGGCCGGTCCAGGAGGCGGAGGTCGAGGGCCGGTTGGAGCGACCGAGCAGGGCGTAGAGCGCAGCGGAGACCCATGCCAAGAGACAAGCTGCTTGACTCCAGGGATCCCTGGGTGTCTTGGGTTTCGATGTTCTGTGCTGTGGGAAGCGTGACCTTCCCGCACCAGAAATTCATTGGCGCCCTGGGGTCTCAGGGTTGGTGTTCTTGTGGAAGGTGTCTTGTGGTCGGGCCCCTGCTGTACAGGTCAGGAGACTTGCGGGGGTCCAGGCCTCCTCGAGCGGTGCCCGAGGAATTGGTGTCCCTGCACCGCACCGCACCGCCGATTGCACAGGACATGCGGCGCGTTGATGCAGCGGGGGTCAGTGGGGGCGTCGACATCGGGCGGGACTGGAGGGAGGGGGGCGGAAGCCTGTTGCGTGCGACTGGTCTGGTTGGCGCTGCCCCGCACTCCCCTCGTCACGTTGTTACGGCTGGTACCTCGAAGTGTTTAGAAGAACAATTGCCACAGCGCTTGCAGCTGGTACGTCCTTTGCCTCCCCCGCTTGCCCACTCGAAGGGGAAGAGGGAACGCCTCTTTCGCCCCCCCCCATCTCTCCCGAGGCTTGATGAGTCCTCTCTCCTTGGTGCCCCCTCTACGGTGCCTTTGCGCGACGGCGCTGCGCTGCGGCGCAGCGCAGCGCCCTGTCGCGCGGGACGTGCCAAAGGCGGAGGTCGAGAGTCCTCCTCCGCGAACGAGAGCGTTACGCCATCGGGGGCAAGTCAGGTCGGTGCCGGGGTCACGAGCGGCAAACATATCCGTATCCGCGCCCTCGCTGTTGGGGTTCTGGGGCGCGATCCCGCGGATGCGTTCCGCGCGGGGCATCCGTGAACAAACGCCCCGCATCCGCGGAGTCGCGGCCCCCCGGGGGCTCCACGAGGAGCGTTGCGCCCTCGGCCGGGGGGCGAGAGTCCGGGCGGGGCGGGAGGCCCGCGCTGCCCGCAGCGCTGGCCCCTGGAGGGTCGCTGGGGCGTATCGGCGGTGGCCCGCCTCTCGGCTCTCCAGAGCCAGCCCGCAGGGGCGCGGAGATGGCCGCGCCGCGCGGTTCGTTCTCCGCGGGGGGAGCGCGGGGGGGGGCGCGAAGGTGGGCGCGCAGCGCGGGGCGCGAGGGTGCTCCTCTCGAGGAGGGGGGGGGAGGGGCTCTTCAAAGGGAAGGCAGGGGGCTCCTGGGGGAAGGGGGGAGGGCGGAGAAGCAAGGGGCTCCTCTGGGGGAGGGGAGGAGGGGGGGAGGCCAAGCTAGACGCGCTCGCGTTGAATCTGACGTGCTACCCCTCCCTCCCGGCCCATCCCTTACCGAGGCGTCGTAGATCTCTTTTCGATTCGCACAATCGGATACCGCAGCATGACATAGCATTACATGGCATAACGTGGTGTTGAAGATCAACACGTGTCGACGGCCCAGATTGTGTGGGGGCTTCTGCGGCCCAAACAATCGACGAATCGGCACCGAATGCGCAATCACTTCCGATGGTTTTTTCGGGTGGCCATTTTCTGGATTTGGAGGCCTATTTGGAAGGACCGAAAACCATGCCCCACCTCTTCTCGTCGCGCGATGCGGTTTAGTCAGCCGTTTTCTCCACGCAGAAGATCAAAGCGTGCATCGCGTTCCCAGCCATGGAATGCGCCGGGCGACTCTGCGCGCACAGCGATGGTGGCAGGATACGGCATGACAACAGCCGCATACAATCGTGTCGGCATGTGCCGCTGCACTGGTAAACAGTGGTGCCACGTGCGAGGCGCCGCGAGCCGATCGCACAATCTGGCGTGCAGGTCGGCATTCGGCTCAGAGCTCCTCGCAGCACGCGGCAAAGCCGACGGCCTGCAGAGGCGCCCCCTCGCGCTGCGCGAGATGATGAGCGGCCCCGCCTCAGCCGAAGAGATCAGGAGGCTGAAGGGCGGGGGGGAGAGAGGATGCGCTTTGGCCATGGGCCCAGTGCGGCCACCTTCCGAGAACATCGTGGCTGGCCGCCTGCGGTGGCTAGCGGACCAGCTCCGCCCCGAACAGACTGAGGACGCGCATTGACACTCGGGACATGGGGGCCGTCCCTGTGACCGAGGGCAGCACTGGCCAGGATTTCATCTCCAATCTCATGGGTTGCCAGAGCAGCTACGACGGCAACGCCGTTAAGTTGAGCGACGAAGAGAACAATCAGATTTCCCCGAGCTCCTAGCGCAGCGGTCTCACCCATAAGGAGATGGGCGACAGTGCGATTGGGCCACCAGATCACTCAGTTCTGCGGGCATCTACGGTCAGAGATGATACGGAAGTCGAGCGAACAAGTGGGTGTTGCTCCCGCTGACTGCGTCAGTGGAGCAGCAGCGTTCGTGATAGCTCGCTCCACCAATCTCTCGCAGTAGCCAGCCTGCAAAATGTCGTGAGGGGTGCAGTCAGCAAAGCGTCCCTGCAGTAGCCTGGATCCTGCTTCGTGGGTTCATGCGCGGGGTGCGCGCGTGGACCGACGAGGCACAACGGAATCGCTTCAGCACCATATTCGAATTGTCGTTCCTCCTTGCCGCCTCTGCTCCATCCATGCCCGCGTCATACTAGTGTTACATCCGCGCCCGCCCGCGTTCAGGTAATAGTGCCCTTCCTTTTTGCCACTCACCTTTTACATTCTCGCGTGCTCCTGCTGAATCTGCATCCCGCTCGCCCTCCTGTTCCTCTCCCTTCGGAGAAGGAGGGGGAGTGGGGGAGGACGGGGCAAGAAACAGGCTGATACGTAGGAGGCGGAGATGATCCAGGAGGCAGGAGGAAAGCATGTTCAAGATGCACCAACGAGGCTGCCAGGCATGCTCCCGTGTCAAGGCCCGCCTTCGCAAGTGCCGGCGATCCTTGCACTTTACTGCAATAGGTGTTCCTTGAAAGGCCAGCACCCCGCGGGCCTGTCATTCAAGCGACAAACCCATCATGGTAAGGATACGTGTTCCATCCGCTCAGCGAGTAATATAGAAGGCAAAAAGATATGGTCACAGAGGTCAGCGATGCGTCCAATACGATTCATGTTTTGAAAACGGGCCGCCCCAAAATGTATCACGGTTGTACAAGTCTGCACGTGTGCACTCGAACTCCGAAAAGGTCACAGCAATATCCCCATGTGGAATGTAAGCCGCCATTGCACCTTGTATATCAGTTCGATCCTCGGTTTTGAAAATTCTGCAATTCTCAAGCCAGAGCCTCTTTTTGAACAAGGAGTTGTTTCCGTCCTTGTGCGTGCTGCCAACGTTGGAAGCGAATCTGCGCGTCGCGAGTGCGGAAGCCTGATTTCGAAACCACATCCTTGTTTTCTGTGGTTGCTGCAAGCTTTTGAGACGAATGTTCGCGGCGCTGGGGCGAGAACACCGTTTTGTAAACGACCCCCTCCATTTATTTAACTGCTGCAAATTTTGAGACGAACGTGTGCGGCGTTAGCGCGGGAACCTTATTTTTGAAACCGTCACCCATGTATCATTGCACCGAATGCGAATCTCAAACATCAGGACCATACGTGGGGAGGGAGGGAGTCTTGGGCGAAACGCCTGGCCCGCCCTACCAACACGTCTGGGAGTGCGACAGGGGGGGGGTTCAAGAAGGACACCGAAATCAGGACGTGGACGAAGATGGATTTGCCGCGACGGCGTCGGTCGTCGGCGGCGGCGGCGGTCGACGACGACAGCGGCGATGGCGGCGACATCGGCGACTTGACACCCCACGCCAAGGCACGGCCACGGCGACCGCCAGCGCCCGCCCGGGGGAGCAGGCCGCGCCGGGCCAGTGCGCTCCGCGCGTCCGCGCCAGCGCGCAAGAGCGGTGGCGGAGGGGGTGCTTCAGTGGCAACGCCAAGGTTGGGTCGGGCATGTCCCTCTTACAGGAGGAATGTCCAAGACTCGTAATACATGGTCTGGGGATTGCTCGTGCATTTCTCATTTTGTTCGAACATGTTCTGATATTTCTTGAAACTTTCATCCAAAATCCGCCTGTAGGAGGACATGCCCGACCCAACTTCGGCCATCTTGGTGGGCTTCTGGCCCGTCTGACGCGGTCGGGAGCCGTTTGGGGGGCCGTTCTGGGCCGACTTGGGGCCTTCTTGGGGTGCTCCAGGGCCGTCTTTGAGGCCTCTTGGCCCGTCTTGGGGCCCTCTTGGGGCCGTCTTGGGGCCTCTTGGGCCGTCATGGGGCCATCTTGGAGGCCTCGTGGGCGATCTTTGGGGCCTCTTGGGCTGTCTTGAGCCGTCGGAATGCCGAGAAGAAGCAAATGCCAAAATCTTAAAAAGCCCCAGGGAAAATCAATGATGTTGGCCTATTCGGGCCCTCCTGGAGGACCTCTTGGAGGTCTCTTGGGCCCCGTCTTGGAGGCCTCCTGGGGGCCTCTTAGGCTGTCTTGGGCCATCTTGAGGCTATCTTAGGCCGTCTTGGGTGCATCCTGGGCCGTCTTGGAGGCGACTTGAGGTCATCTTAGCCGTCTTAGAGGCCATCTTGGCCGTCTTGGAGGCATCTTGGAGGTCATCTTGGGCCATCTTGAGCGAAAAAGCCGACGAGATGGGTACCCTGGCTGGACGCGCAGGAGGCCCTGGGGAAGTTCTTTTGGAAAAAGAAGCAAAACCAAAACCGAAAGGATCTAGCACGCCAGGCACCCCTGCGATGAATCGACAGGGGGCGGCGGATCGAACATGCCTACGGCGAATCACCGCCGGCCCCTGCCTTTTTGGAAGCGCCCATGTGGCCGAACGTTGAGGCCAGACCTGCCAAGCTATCGGACCATGTGTTCCCCGAATCGGTTTGGAAAGCCTTCGGGGAACACGTGGGCATCTTGAAGGGCCTTCTTGGAGGACGTCTTGGACGCCTCTTGGGCCGTCTTGGGGGCCTCTTGGGGCCGTCTTGGGGACCTCTTGGGCCGTCTTGGGGGCCTCTTGGGGCCGTGTCTTGGGCCTCTTGGGCGATCTTTGGGGGCACTTGGGCCGTCTCGTGCCGTCGGAAGGCAGAGCAAAAGCAAATGCCACAATCCTTCAAAAACCAATGGTAAATCAATGATTTGGGTCTTTCGGGCCTTCCTGAAGGCCCTCTCGGAGGCCTCTTGGGCCGTCTTGGGCCATTTTAGGGCCATGTTCGGCCGGCTTGGTGGGCTCCTGGTCCGTCTGACGCCGTCGGAAGCCGTTTCGGGGGCCCCTATGGGCCGACTTGGGGCCCTCTTGGAATGCTCCAGGGCCGTCTTGGAGGCCATCTTGGGCGTCTTAAAGGCCTCCTGGGCCGTCTTGGGGGCCTCTTGGGGACGTCTTGAGGCCCTCTTGGGCCGTTCTGGGGCCATCTTGGAGGCCTCTTGGGCGATCTGTCGGCGATCTTTGGGGGCTCTTGGGCCGTCTCGGGCCGTCGGAAGGCCGAACAGCAGCAAATGTCAAAATCCGTCAAAAACCAGGGAACATCAAGGTTTGGGGCCTCTTCGAGCCTTCCTGGAGGCCCTCTTGGATGCCTCTTGGGCCGTCTTGGGCCAGCTTCGGCCATCTTGGTGGGTACCTGGCACGTCTGACGCCGTCGGGAGCCGTCTGGGGGGCCTTTCTGGGCCGACTGGGGCCCCTTTTGGAGCGCTTCGGGGCCGTCTTGGAGGCCACCTTGGGCGTGTTGGAGGCCATCTTGGGCGTGTTGGAGGCCTCTTGGGTTGTCTTGGGGCCCGCTTGGGACCGTCTTGGAGAGGCCACCTGGAGCGTCATGGGGCCCTCTTGGGGGCCTCTTGGGCGATCTTGGGGGTTTCTTGGGCCGTCTTGAGCCGTCGGAATGCCGAGAATAAGCAAATTCCATAATCCTCCAACAACTAAGGAAAATCAATGATTTTGGCCTCTTCGGGCGCTCCTGGAGGACCTCTTCTCTTGGGCCGTCTTGGAGGCCTCTGGGGGGCCTCTTGGGCCGTCTTGGACTCTCTTGGGCCGTCTTGGACCATCTTGGGCGGATTTGGAGGCCATCTTGGGCCATCTTCTGGATTTGATGAGGATGTCCCGGGCGAAACGGCTGTTTTTGGCATTGACAGCTGGGTTTTCCGGGTGGCCGGCGGGACGAGCTGAAGCCCCAGGGGGAGCTCTTTTGGAAAAAGAGCAAACAAAAACCGAGAGGGTCCAGCACGCCAGGCACCCCTGCGATGAATCGACAGGGGGCGGCGGATCGAAGACGCCTACGGCGAATCACCGCCGCCCCCTGCCTTTGTGGAAGCGCCTATGTGGCCGAACGTTGAGGCCAGACCTGCCAAGCCATCGGGCCATGTGTTCCCCGAAGCGGTTTGGAAAGCCTTCGGGGAACACGTGGGCATCTTGAAGGTCATCCTGGCCGTCTTGGAGGCCTCTTGGGCGATCTTTCGGGCCTTCTTGGAGGACGTCTTGGAGGGCTCTTGGGCCGTCTTGGAGGCCATCTTGAGCGTCTTGGAGACCTCTTGGGCCGTCTTGGGGGCCTCTTGGGGCCGTGTCTTGGGCCTCTTGGGCGATCTTTGGGGGCACTTGGGCCGTCTCGTGCCGTCGGAAGGCAGAGCAAAAGCAAATGCCACAATCCCTCAAACACCCATGGGAAATCAATGACTTGGGCCTTTTCGGGCCTTCCTGGAGGCCCTCGTGGAGGCCTCTTGGGCCGTCTTGGGCCTTCTTAGGGCCATGTTCGGCCGTCTTGGTGGGCTCCTGGTCCGTCTGACGCCGTCGGAAGCCGTTTGGGGGGCCGTTCTGGGCCGACTTGGGGCCCTCTTGGAATGCTCCAGGGCCGTCTTGGAGGACATATTGGGCGTCTTAAAGGCCTCCTGTGCCGTCTTGGGGGCCTCTTGGGGCCGTCTTGGGGCCCTCTTGGGCCGTTCTGGGGCCATCTTGGAGGCCTCTTGGGCGATCTGTCGGCGATCTTTGAGGGCTCTTGGGCCGTCTCGGGCCGTCGGAAGGCGGAAAAGAAGCAAATGTCAAAATCCGTCAAACACTTACGAACAATCGATGTTTTTGGCTTCTTCTGGCCTTCCTGGAGGCCCTGTTGGGGGCCTCTTGAGCCGTCTTGGGCCAGCTTCGAGCCAATTTCGGCCATCTTGGTGGGTTTCTGGCACGTCTGACGCCGTCGGGAGCCGTCTTGGGGGCCGTTCTGGGCCGACTTGGGGCCCTCTTGGGGCGCTTCGGGGCCGTCTTGGGGGCCATCTTGGGCGTGTTGGAGGCCATCTTGGGCGTGTTGGAGGCCTCTTGGGTTGTGTTGGGGCCCGCTTGGGGCAGTCTTGGAGGCCACTTGGGCCGTCATGGGGCCCTCTTGGGGTGGGGGCCTCTGGGGTGATCTTGGGGGCCTCTTGGGCCGTCTGGAGCCGTCGGAATGCCGAGAAGAGACAAGTTCCCAAATCCTCCAACCACCTACGGAAAATCAATGATTTTGGCCTCTTCGGGCCCTCACGGAGGACCTCTTGGAGGCCTCTTGGGTCGTCTGGGAGGCCTCTGGGGGGCCTCTTGGGCCGTCTTGGGCCGTCTTGGACTCTCTTGGGCAGTCTTCGAGGCCGTCTTGGACTCTCTTGGGCGGACTTGGAGGCCATCTTGGACCATCTTGGAGGCCATCTTGGGCCAACGTGGACATCTTGGCACAATCTTGAGCCATCTTGGGGGATTTTTTCCGGATTGAGCACCTTTCCGGGTGGTTGGCGGGACGGGCCGAAGCCCCAGGGGGAGTTCTTTTAGAAAAAGAAGCAACACCAAAACCGAAAGGATCTAGCACGCCAGGCACCCCTGCGATGAATCGACAGGGGGCGGCGGATCGAAGACGCCTACGGCGAATCACCGCCGCCCCCTGCCTTTGTGGAAGCGCCTATGTGGCCGAACGTTGAGGCCAGACCTGCCAAGCTATCGGACCATGTGTTCCCCGAATCGGTTTGGAAAGCCTTCGGGGAACACGTGGGCATCTTGAAGGTCATCTTGGCCGTCTTGGAGGCCTCTTGGGCGATCTTTCGGCGATCTTTGGGGGCTCTTGGGCCGTCTCAGGCAGTCGGAAGGCCGAAAACAAGGAAATGTCACAATCCGTCAAAAACCTAAGGAACATCAATGTTTTTTGGCTTCTTCTGGCCTTCCTGGAGGCCCTGTTGGGGGCCTCTTGAGCCCTTTTGGGCCAACTTCGAGCCAACTTCGGCCATCTTGGTGGGTCCCTGGCACGTCTGACGCCGTCGGGAGCCGCCTTGGGGGCCTTTTCTGGGCCAACGGGGGACCCTCTTGGGGCGCTTCGGGGCCGTCTTGGAGGCCATCTTGGGCGTCTTGGAGGCCATCTTGGGCGTGTTGGAGGCCTCTTGGGCCGTCTTGGGGCCCCCTTGGGGCCATCTTGGAGGCCACTTGGGCCGTCCTGGGGCTGTCTTGGGGGCCTCTTGGGCGATCTTGGGGGCCTCTTGGGCCATCTGGAGCCGTCGGAATGCCGAGAAGAAGCGAATTCCAATATCCTTCAACCACAGAAGGAAAATCAATGATTTTGGCCTCTTCGGGCCATCCTGGAGGACCTCTGAGAGGCCTCTTGGGCCGTCTGGGAGGCCTCTGGGGGGCCTCTTGGGCCGTCTTGGGCCGTCTTGAACTCTCTGAGGCCGTCTTGGAGGCAGTCTTTGACCATCTTGGGCGGACTTGGAGGCCATCTGGGGTCGTCTTGGAGGTCATCCTGGCCGTCTTGTGTGGCCGAACGTTGAGGCCAGAGCTGCCAAGCCATCGGACCATGTGTTCCCCGAAGCGGTTTGGAAAGCCTTCGGGGAACACGTGGGCATCTTGAAGGTTATCTTGGCCGTCTTGGAGGCCTCTTG